ATAAGAACTCACAGGACTATAAGAGGTGCCCACAGAGGCAGTCTCGGCCTGCCCCCCAGCCTGGGTTCTTCAAGGGCAAGCAAGTGGGGAAAAGGCAGTTTATCCCGAAGGCCAAAGGTGGGCTCAGGCCCATCTTGGACCTGCAACGCCTGAACCAGTACATGGTGAAGCTCAAGTTCCACATGGTTTCCCTGGCCTCCATCATCCCCTCCCTGGATCCCGGGGACTGGTACGCCGCCCTCGATCTGCAGAACGTGTACTTCCACATTCATATATTCGAGGGGCACAGATGCTTCCTCCGTTTCATGGTGGGGCAGGAACACTACCAATTTACGGTCCTCACATTTGGCCTGTCCACTGCCCCCAGGGTATTCACAAAATGTATGTCCATGGTGGCGGCCTACCTCAGGCACCGGGGGGTCCAGATCTTCTCTTATCTGGACGACTGGTTGGTCAAAGGCAGCTCCCGGTCGCAGGTGCGGGATCACGTGGCGCTCCTTCTGTCTACGTACACCACTTTGGGTCTGTTGGTAAACAACACCAAGTCCACGTTAGTCCCGGTACAACGCATAGAGTTTATCGGGGCGGTCCTGGACGCCTCGTCAGCCAGAGCCTCCCTCCCACCGAACAGGTTCGAGACCCTGAAGGGACTCATCATCACAGTTACAAGGTTTCTGGTGACAACAGCCAGAGCGTGCCTCCAGCTCTTGGGTCACATGTCGGCGTACATGTATGTGGTTCGTCACGCCAGACTCAGGATGAGGCCCCTCCAGCTCTGGTTGGCCTCGGAGTTCTCCCAGGCCAGGGACAGGCTGGACAAAGTTCTCACGGTGCCCAAGCCAATGATCATCTCCCTACAGTGGTGGTCCTCCCTGAGAAACATGCTCCAAGGGGTCCCATTCAGGGGCAGGGCCCCATCGCTGGAACAGGTGTCCGATGCGTCAGACCTGGCATGGGGGGCCCATGTGGGAAACATGCAGACCCAAGGTCTGTGGTCGGCTCAGGATCTGACCCTCCACATAAACGTCAAGGAGCTCAGGGTGGTACGGCTGGCGTGCATGGCCTTCCGCTTGCACCTGGAGGGCCGGGTGGTCAGGGTCCTCATGGACAACACGGCCTTGATGTTCTACATGAACAGGCAAGGCGGGGCCCGATCCTCTGATGCGAAGCCCTCAGGCTGTGGGACTTTTGTATAGCCCACGACATCTGCCTGCAGGCCTTCCATCTGCCGGGCGCCCGGAATACGCGGGTGGATTGCTTGAGCTGGGACTTCTCATCTCAGCACGAATGGTCTCTCCACCCAGAGGTGGTGCACAGACTTTTCCAAGAGTGGGGAACTCCCCAGGTGGACCTGTTTGCGACTCAGCAGAACCGTCGCTGACCTCAGTTCTGCTCCGGGGGGGGACTGGGATGGAGTGCTATCTCCGATGCCTTTCCCCCATTCCCGCTGATCGGCAAGGTCCTGGAAAAGATAGACAAGGCCTGGGTCCTTCTGATTGCCCCAGCCTGGTCCAGGCAGCATTGGTACGGGACCCTCACGGGCCTGGCAGTTGCCCCACTGTAGACGTTGCTGTCCCGCCCGGACCTGCTGTCCCAGGACCAGGGCCGCCTCCTCCACCCCAACCTAGTGGCACTCCACCTCACGGCGTGGCTGCTCAATGGTTAGGTAGGGAGAAAAGGACATGCTCGGAAGAGGTTCAGTGCGTCCTACTAGAAAGCAGGCAGCCCTGCATGCGCCGAGCCTACTTGGCAAAGTGGTCTCGGTTTTCCAGATGGGCGGATGAGTGGGGTGTTTCCCTGGTGGCTGCCCCAATCCATCTTATTCTGGACTACCTCCTTCACCTTAGAACCCAGGGCCTGGTGCCCTCATTAGTTAAGGTGCACCTGGCGGCCATATCGGCCTTCCATCCGCCGGTGCAGGGCCACATGGTATTCTCCCATGCTATGACTGGCTGATTCCTTAAGGGGTTGGATCGTCTCTTCCCATATGTTAGGCTCCCAGTCCCGCACTGGGACCTAAACCTGGTGTTGGCCCATCTCACGGGGCCCCCATTTATGCTGCTAGCCATGTGCTCCTGGTCACACCTCTCATGGAAGGTGGCCTTCCTGTTTGTGATCATGTCGGGTAGGCGGGTCTTGGAGCTCAGGGCCCTGACATCTGAGCCCCCGTACACGGTGTTTCATAAAGATAAGATCCAGCTCCGCCCACACCCTTCGTTCCTCCTGACGGTAGTCTCCGCCTATCACATGGGTCAGGACATTTTTCTGCCGGTCCTCTGCCCCAAGCCCTATGCGTCCAGTGAGGAGCGCCACCTCCACACGCTGGATGTGAGACGGGCTCTGGCTTTTTACCTGGAGTGGACTAAGCAGTTCAGAAAGTCCTCGCAACTGTTCATTGCCTCGTTCGAGCGCATGAAAGGTCGGTCGATCTCCACTCAGTGGCTCTCCAACTGGATCACCTCATGCATCCGTACTTGTTATGACCTGGCGGGAATCCCTCCGCCACCAATTGTGAGGGTGCACTCGACTAGGGCGCAGGCCTCATTGGTTGCCTTTTTGGCCCATGTCTCCATTCAGGACATTTGTAGGGCTGCCACGCGGTCTTCAGTTCACACATTCACCTTGCATTATGGGGTTGTCTCTCAGACCAGGGAGGACGCCAGGTTCGGCAGGACCGTTCTCCATCCCGAGAGTTTGTGAACTCCTTCCCACCTCCAACAGATATAGCTTGGAATCACCTATTGTGGAATACACATGAGCGATCACTCAAAGAAGAAAAGACAGTTACCTTTTCTGTAACTGGTGTTCTTCGAGATGTTGCTCATGTCTATTCCACATTCCGCCCTCTTTCCCCTCTGTCGGAGTTGTCTGGCAAGAAGGAACTGAGGGTGGGGGGAGCGCGCAGTGCCCCTTTACCACACCATGGAGGCACTACTCCAGGGATCGCTAGGGCGCTCCCCTACGGGTACTGCTAGGGGAAAAACTTCCAGCACCGGTGCACGTGGCGAGTACATACGCCTATTGTGGAATAGACATGAGCAACACATCTTGAACAACACCAATTACGGAAAAGGTAACTGTCTTTTAAGTTTGTTACAGGGGCTACTGGGTGAAATTCTACTGCCTGTGTTATATAGGAGGTCAGATTAGATGCTCTAATTGCCTTAAAATCTTTTGCTTTTCTGGTTTAGTTATGTTCTGCAGCCTTAGGAGTTGGAGCTTGTGGAGGACAATGAGGATCTGGGGTGCTTTTCTGTATCTTTTTAGAAGAGGAATTCTCACTATTTATCAGCTAACCTGTCCCATTTTCTTGGCGGGGACTCCTATTTTCTGTTCAGCCTGTTTGGGTGGGGGAGAATGGGTTTGGTGCCCCAGTGCTCATATTTCAATATAATTGGAATGGTAATTCATAGTTCTTCTTTGAGTGTTGGTCCTTATGTGTATTGTTCTGTGGCTATGCATGCGCTCCACGTACATGAGACCTGAGAATTCTTGCAAGTAGCATCTGTTGGTCCATGCCTGGGCCCCCTCTGTCCTCGTGTTCCATGCCAAAGGTATAAGGAGCAGTGCAGACCAACACCTCCCCAGTTCCTCCTTACAGCCGTATGGCCTGAGTGGGAATCTCCAGTGTCTGGAACTGATCCTTTTCAACATTTCCCATCAAATATTTCAGTTTTATATGTAGTTAGTATTGTTAGTAGTTTTAAAAGTTCTGCTAAGAGGAGGGTGGAGACCCATGCTCGACTTGCAGCAACTCAGTTTTTTTAATCACAAGCTAAAATTCTGCATGGTTACGCTGGCATTGATAATACTGTCCCTAGAAAAAGATGTGGTTCACAGCTCTCGATATGAAAGATGCATACGTTCATGTGGATTTTCACCCTTCCCACAGAAGATTCTTCAGTTTTGTGATAGATCCTGACCACTGTCAATACAGAGTACTCCCATTCAGTCTAGTAACTACATCCAGGGTTTTTATGAAAGTGTTTTCTGTAGTAGCATCACAACTCAGACAGGGCTGTTCCACATCCATGGGGATCTCTGTAAACATGCATGTCTACCTTTGCTCAGACCCAAACTATAGCTTTCATAAGAGCTTAGTCTGACCTTAGACTCAGAGCAAGAGCTTGTGTCCCAATCGGTTTCCAAGCCATGGGCAACCTGATAAATTAGGTAGACATTGGTCTAGATTTGCCTTAGTCTCCTGGGTCACATGGAGTCATGTACTTACATAAGACTGTTTACCAAACTCTACCTCTGCTGCCTGAAGGCTTGGCTTTGACCAATATATGCTGAGCACAAACAGCAAAAATGCTGTAGTGACAATCCCCACTGAGAAAAGGGCATCTCTAACTTGGTGGAAAGATCCCACACCAGTGTGCATAGGCATTTCTTCCCTATTCCCCCATACCTGGTGGACAATCACAGACATCTCCATGTTAAGTTCAGGGGCTCACATGGATGGTCACACAGCACAGGGCACTTGGACACCTCAGGAAACAAGAATGCATGTAAATCTCCCAGAACTCAGAGCTGTCCGAGACACATACAGGGCATTCTTACCAGTAATCCAGTCTCGTCACATTCTTGCACTGTTAGGCAATATGACTATAGTCTGCATAAACAAACAGGGAGAAGTAAGATCCATTCCTCTGTGTATAGAAGTGGTCAGTTTATGGAACTGGTGTGTGTACTTCCCCAAGAACCCAGAATTTGCTGGCAGACAGGCTCAGCCGGTACTTTGCCAGCAACCACAAGTGGGGTTACACAGCTCAATGGTGAAGATCTTTGCTCAGCAGGGATCCCCTACCTGGGATCTGTTCACCTCTGATAAACAAAGTGCAGCACATGCTCTTCCAGGGGAGCTCAGGACTAATTCTCCAGAGGTGATGCTTTCCTATGCACTTGGACAAATAGTTTGAACTATGCCTTTCTTCCTAATCTGCTGCTCCCTTGAGTGTTGCAAAAGATTCAAGAGGGCAGAAGGAGTTATTCTCCTTGCACTCAAATGGCCCAGGCAGTTCTAGTTCCCAGGTCTCCTGCATACGTCAGCCCAGCCACTCATTAGCATTCATCCCTTCCTGGACCTCTTCACTCGAGAACAGCAGGGTCAGACATCCCAACCTGGAAGCTGTTCACTTCATGGCTTAGTATATGGATGGGCATCAGACCAAGAACATTCCTGTTCCAAAACTGTGCAAGCCATTCGTACTAATTGCAGAAGGGTCTCAACCAAAAAATGTTACCTTGCCGAGTGAAAGCATTTCTCTGTCTAGGCCCAGCACCACTATGTATCTCCTGATATTTTGGATTACCTCCTTATTCTTCCTTAGCTTGATACGGGTTCACCTGGAAGCAATCAATGAGTGAGATGGTTACTCTATATTTACTCACCTCCAGGTTCTTAAAGGTCTTAATTAGAACTTTCCAATTGGTAATAAGACCAACCCCTTAATAGCACTATAATTTAGTACTTTAGCACTTACCTTTTGAATCCTTGGCTCCTCTTTGATTCTTCACCTATCTATGAAGGTTGTATTCCTCATATCCATTACCTCATCAAGATGGGTAGGTAAACTGGGGAACCTAATGGCAGACCCTCCTCATGGTATAAAGACAAGGTCTTGCTATGACTACGTTCGAATTCATCCCAATGTAGTTTTGAAATTTCACATAAACCAGATTGTCTATTTACCTGTGTTGTTCTTGAAGCCTCGCGCCTCCAGTGAAGCGACTTCATTCCTCGACAGCTCTAGCATTTTACCTAAGAGAACAAAACTGATCAGAAAGTCACCTAGGTTTGTTTGCCATAGCAGAACAAGCCCAAAGACCAGCTGTTTCCTCCCAGAGGATCTCCAAATAGATCTTTGGCTGTATCCTATTTTATCAACTGGCGCACTTTCCTACCTCACATGGTGTACGGGCTCACTCTATAAGAGTGAAGGCAGCTCTGGTAGTATCACTTCAAGAGGTAACTAGCAGCAACGTGGAGTTCCATCTGCATATTTACAAGACATTTTGCCATAGTCCAAGCCTATGCTGATGCATCCTTTGGGACAGTGGTTGTGTGAACAGCTTTACCACCTGCCTCCTTACACCCTCCTTATTCTCCTCTGAGTACTGCTTTATCAGTCACGCACAGTGGAATACAGAGAGGCCAGCACTCAAAGGGAAGAGTTCTTTGACATGTGTGGTCCTCACCTGTATTCCATTACCCACTCTCCTTCCCCGCTCTGTTAGATCATCTGATACACAGTAAGAGGTGAGGAACTGGAGAGGCCTCAGTCCCCACTGCCCCTTATACTTTTTGGTGCAGAATAGTAGGGGAGAGAGGATTCAGGTGTGGACAAACAGACACTACTTGCAAGAATTCTCTGGTCTCAGGCACAAGGAGTGCATGCGTACCCACAATTGAATACAGATAGGGACCACACATCTCTAAGAACTCCATTTATGAACGGTAAGTAACTTCCCTTCTTTCTCCAGGCAGCTTTGAAAACAGGAGGAAGAAGGTGTTAGCTGCTATAAAGATTGGGGGAGCTGTCAGAGAAATCTGAACAAGCTAAATCTAAGAGTATTCTCCTATTCAAAACAGACGCAAGTTGTCATTCCTCTACAACAGGGGTCGGCAACCTTTCAGAAGTGGTGTGCCGAGTCTTCATTTATTCACTCTAATTTAAGGTTTTGCATGCCAGTAATTCGTTTTAACGTTTTTAGAAGGTCTCTTTCTATAAGTCTATAATATATAACTAAACTATTGTTGTATTTAAAGTAAATAAGGTTTTTAAAATGTTTAAGAAACTTCCTTTAAAATTAAATTAAAATGCAGAGCCCCCCCAGACCAGTGGCCAGGACCCGGGCAGTGTGAGTGCCACTGAAAATCAGCTTGCGTGCTGTGTTTGGCACGCGTGCCATAGGTTGGCTACCCCTGCTCTACAATCTTCCTTCAAGGAGGTCATTTGGGAGGAGGAAGACACTCTCAACAATGGGAAGAACTTCAATTGGCAAACTGAGTAATTCTACCGGTTTCTAGAATGCAAAGATACTCTTTCCTCTTTCTATGCTTGATAGCGGAGCTGGATGAATGGCACAAGAAATGGTAATTCCTGCTGAATGATTTCTTCCCTGAAAACACCCTGCAGACAAGAAGATAAAAGCCACACTTTAAAAGGATCTCTGAAGCTTTTTCAGCTGTACTCACTCAGAGCCTCTCTCACAACCATCTGCTTCACCAGGGACACAATCTCCTGGTGCAATGACCTAAAAAGTGTAGCTACCCAGAACTAAGGAGAATTCAAGTTTATATTAAAGAAATATCTCAGGCTACTTAATTCAGAGCAGACAGATCCATGGATTCCATGAAACTGGCAGCCAACACTGGAGCCAGATGCTAAATCCTGTCTAAGTTATGGACAACAGATAATTTATTCAAAGCAAATATTTGTACCTCACAATTCTTAGGACAAATCTAGTTTGCAGAGAAGATTGATTGAGGTGGTGCTGACAACACAGATAACTCCAAGAGTTCATTCCCCACTCTGGAGAGATCCAAAAATGCACTACAAGCCTTCATTCAGGAGCAGAAGTGCCTTTTGTTCCAACCTACAACAAAGATACTAAACATGAGACTCACTACATAGCTAGTAAATCTGGGTCTTGAACTCTTAGGAGAAACCTACACTTAAAATGAGACCAATCCCTCTTTCCAGCTCAGACTATCAAAATAAGTACAGTTGTGCTTCCATCTGTACAAAAATAGATCTAGAGCAGAGGATATTCTCCCATCTCCAATTCCCATTAAAGAATAACTTCTCAAGCAGCTGGATCCATTGAACTTCAGAAAGGTGAGCACTAGAAATAATGCACCCTTGATATTCTGGAGCTCGAGGCTCATCTGCATCCTTTCTTCATAGCCTCAACCTCAAGAGATACCCAGGAATATCCAGAAAGATTCTACAGCTACTAGAGATGGGAACAGTCTGTGTCCCTCAGTGTGAAAGATGTTCGACTCTCCATCTTCATGTACGAAAAAGATCAAAAGGAGTCTAATTCATCTTAGACTTCAAGATGCTGTTCAAGTTGACTTTTAAAGAAAATGAAATTTAAGATGGAGACTAGTTGCCACTATTGCTGCACTCTCGCCAAGAGATGTACTTAGGTGGGGAATGTGCCAGAAGCAGCTCACCTGCATATTCCAATCAGACCCTTTCATCAGCAACTTCTTTAGTTTACCTATAGAAATGATCTATACCAGTACAAAATTTTATCTTTTGGCCTGTCCACCATCCACAGGGTGTTCATAACAGTGTTGGTCGTGATTATAGCTAGGGACAGATGTTTCCGAAATTATCTGTACCCATTTCTAAATATAGTACTCATCTGAACTGCCTCCTCAAGGGCTTCACAGGAAACAACCTATTTCATCTTCATCTGTTAGTCTTAAAGGTGCCACAGGACTCTCTGTTGCTCATTTAAAACTGCCATTTTAATTTTAATTAACTTTTTTTTGGTCCACCTGTACTCCAGAAGAATAAATGCTTTATAGGTAGGTGGTGATAATGCCTATACTTACGCCTATTTTCAGTCACTTATTTTTGCCAAATTTGACTCTTGACTGAAATGATCCATACTTGCTCTGAGCCTCAGCCTCAGACAGGTGTGTTTAAAAGTTTAGCAAAAACGGTTCCACCATTGCTTCCAGGAATGAGAGAGGAAAAATAGATAAGTGGAAAGCATAGCAAATTATTCCTTTCCTATGTATGCTAACAGCTTAGTGTTGACTTTTAATCCTTTAATTGAAGGGGTAGAGGACTTTGGTGTGGATCTTAAAGTTCAAGGTTTACCCCTTTCCCCTTCCCCCTCAATGAACAAAGCAGAGAGTCAACATGTCTCTAATGATGGTTTTAAATAAAACTACCACCCTAGGATCTTGCATACAAAAAGCTCTACTAAAACACCATTAAGGTTGCAAAGTTCAAATTTGTGTGCAATCTTAATGCAGACCTCCATGTATATGTTTTATGAAGTCTGTGTGATAATATTATTTATTCTACTCAAACCTCATTAGGTGGACAGGAGTCACAGTGAATGAGGCAGAGGGCTGCATGAGGAAAGATAGATACCTTATTTATGGCAGTGGAGTAGGACCCTAAGAGAGCTGGTCTTTACCTGGCTTTATCACTGCCCTAGATGACCTTAACCAAGACTTTATACTGCATATGCAGTGGGGTTGTACCCAAGTTGGTCCCAGGATATTAGAGAGACAAGGTATCATCTTTTATTGGACAAACTGCTGTTGGTGGAAAAAGACAAGCTTTCCAGCTTTCGGAGGGCTTACTGGAAGAAAAGTTCCGTGTAAGCTTGTAAAGCTTCTCTCACCAACTGGAGTTGGTCCAATACAAAGTATTACCTGACTCACCTTGTCTCAGAAATACTGCATGGTCACAAGTGGGCCACATCAGCATTGCACAAGCCCTCCTAATTTTGGTATTTTGTTTAGTTTCAAAAGTCAGCAACTCAAAGGTAGTTTTAATGTAGAATTTTTTTTTTTGCTTTTTTAAATAAATATATACAAAGCAAAAGCAATGCTCTACTCCATTCCCTTTTTAAAGAAATACGTCTTTCCCAGGCTGAAACTGCTCATAGGTGCTGCTGCTTTCAGTAAGGTGGCCAGACTTTCTTCAAGTGAAAAAACTATTCCATTGGCCAAGAGGCAGCCTGGGCCAAGGCCCAGACCCACAGTCAGTGTTCCCTCTAATTTTTCCCACACGGGTGGAATTAATTTTATGTACACCAATATGCAGGTGGTGTGTGGCACATGAGCTTCATACTGGTGCACATAACAAAATTCATGTGGTAGGGGTGGGTTCAGGACTGGGGCAGATGGTTGGG